ATACAATTTATTCCCTTCTCTTTACCTTAATTCTTAGTTGTTTGAACTGAAGTGAAACTAGGCAGCATGAATGAAATTTAAAAAGGGTCTGGCCATGGCCGGGCGCGGTGGCTCACGCCTGTAATCCTAGCACTCTGGGAGGCCAAGGTGGGAGGATGACTCAAGGTCAGGAGTTCAGAACCAGTCTGAGCAAGAGCGAGACCATCTGTACTAAAAATAGGAAGAAATTAGCTGGACACCTAAAAATATATAGAAAATATTAACCGGGCATGGTGGTGCATGCCTGTAGTCCCAGCTACTTGGGAGGCTGAGGCAGAAGGATCGCTTGAGCCCAGGAGTTTGAGGTTGCTGTGAGCTAGGCTGATGCCACAGCACTGTAGCCCGGGCAACAGAGTGACACTCTGTCTCAAAAAAAAGAAAAAAAGGGTTTGACCAAGCCACAAAGAAGACTCTAAAACCTGGAAAAGAATTAAAGATATCTGGCTCCTAAACACAGGACATAACATAAGAGTAAACAAACCAATGTAAATTGTTAGCACTGAGGTTTACCACTCTGTACTATACTCCAACCCTTATATGTTTCAGAAGAACACGCTTTGCTCAAAAATTTCTCCAAAACCATTCCTTAATATATTTTGAAGTTCATGAAACTAATCAGGTTTTCAAGCACCTAAGAGGGCTTGTTGCAGTAGCTGCAATTAGCTTCACCAAAACATCAAGCAAATTACACTTGTACCTATTCACCATGTTGTTTTTCTTGACCTTAAAGGCTACCATGTGAACTGCCTCCTGGGTATTGTGGTCCCTTGAAATGATCGTGGTGAAAAAAACCCAACTTGGTTATAGTTAATCAATTTAATTAACTCTTACCCAGAGAACTAGATTTACTATTCTCTCTCTCAGGTCCAACTATGAGTCCTTCAATGAATGTAAAGTCTAAATAAGTGTTCTATCTCCTTCTTAGAAGAATCTAAAAGTAAATCACTGCCACTGAAAAGCAGATGACCTGGGTTCTAGTCCTAGGTATGTCATAGGTAATTGTGCAACTCTCTCATTAAACCTTTCTGCATCATGCAAATGGATGGGTTAGACAAGAAATGTTTAAAGTCCCTCCCAGCCATTAAGTTTTAATTCATAATTTAAACTGTTGTCACTTCTATTTCAGATTAGATGAAAGAACATTAGATATAGACTCAGGTTCCACATTAGTGACAGCCACATTTATAATTTCTCTATTAAAATCTATAGCATGACATAGGGCCCTATCAAATTAAATTGGCATTTCTTCATGTTCCATCTGCTACCAAAATGTACTGTTTATATTTCAGACAACAGAGTGGTCAAAGAACAACAGATTTGCTTGGCACTTTCTGTACATATTGCATGTAGACAAGTATGGTGCTATCCCTAGAAAATATTGCAAATAATAGCTGTCAATTCTTAGCAACTAACAACATGTTATTGAAAACAAACACAACCTCTCATCTATAAGTTTCACCTCATAAAATGTGTTTTTTGAGTCTTTTGATTCCCATATGTGTAGCTCCACAATATTTTTGCTGCAGAATACAAAAATTACATAGATTACTAAACAAAATCCACAGATAATCTCAAAATCTTCTGTTAGCCAATTGTTCAGTCTCTTCCACTGCTAAGCTTTTTGCCAGAGATACTGACAACTAACACAGTCCACTGGTTTGAGTTTCATATACTTTTCCAGACAAACTTGCTTTTCAATGGCCCATACAAACAAGAGATTCCCCTTGATTCTAAGTCTTTGAGAAGTTGACCAACAGGCATGAAATGTCCAGTCTCTCTACTGCTAGTTAATACATTCCTTTTAAATTGTTGCTTGGGATTCCTTTTTATCCCTGATTTAAACCTATCTATCTTTAACTACTTGTATTATTCCCAATTCTTTGTCTTGCAATACTGCGCTATGTTTCTCTGAATGTGGGTTTGATTATTATTTTTCTGTATTCTTTATTGTATTACAATTTTAATTCTCCAAGAACTCAGTTTTAGTGTTTGTGAACTTACTCTGAAAAACAAGTGAAAGCAAAGATGATTCCTGCAAAAGAGAGCAGCCAAAATAAAATTTAAAAAGCTTGAAAATTTTATGAAGTGATTAATATAAACTGATATGATATCTTCTATTAAATTCAAAGACTCTTAGGATTGAGAGAATCTAAACTTCTTTAAGAAACCCAAAACCCAGAGAGAAGCTAAGTGACTTGACCAAAGTGATACAACAAACTAAATACATTTATGGACTTATACAAACAATTACAAATTATCACCAGGGCTGGTTCTTTTCACAGTTGAGAATAGCCCCATGAAGTCTGTTCCCAAAACCCGTGCAAGTAGCCACAGTGGCAAAATTCCATATCTGAAGTCTTTCCTTTAGATCGAAGAAATTCTTGGGTAAATGCAATTGGTATCAGGGACAATGGGAGAGAGTAAGAAAGGAAAATACTCCAGAGTATTAGGTTCTAAGTTGGAAGGCTAAAAAATTACATATAATCAAAATGACTCTTGAAATCAACCACACGACTAAGTTGCCTACAGAATCCAATATGTGTCTTTATTTATTGGGAACACACCTCTGTCTTAATGAGTGCAACGCAGCCAGGCTTTCCTTCAGCAACAGAACAGACCAGTTTCTTCTGTTTATTATCAGATGAAGTAGCTGGCTAGAATTAAAAGAATAGGTTGTTCCAAAAACACATATCTTTAAATACCGGACTAGCATTGAGTGAGGATAAGAAGCTCACCCTTAAAGAGGCACTCAGGAAGTAAACAGAAAACCAGAGTCTTGTCTCCCAGGCTATCCTTACTAAGGAGCCTACTCTCCCTGCACAGGACAGCTGGCTTCATGCTGTAAAGGACTATTTACCTGTCATTTCTCTCCCACTCCCTTCTTGATTTTACCCAGAAGTACAGGTGAATTTGTGGTAGTTAATGTGTACGTGATCCAATGTCACCATATTGCCTTACTCCCATATTTGCTTACAGATGTAATGATCTAGGTTAGACACTGAATGTGCAAACATTGCAGGGGGAGGTGAAGTCAGGACGCAGGGCAGGGCAGGTACAGTGAAGAGTCCTAAAGCAGGCTAAGTTCTCCTGCGTGAGTGACGGTTTGAAGGAAATAGAGAGAAGGTTACTTCCTGTGGGACAGAATTAGTTCCAAAAATCACTTTCATTATGTTCATAATTTTTCCTGAGATTGGATTTGACAGACACATTGCAACACATCTCATTTGATTTTTAATCAATGTAGAGAGCTTACACACTCAAGCATATAAGTAACCACATAACTACAGAATTCAAACACTAGAAGAAATTCATCAAGAGAATATTTTTCAAATAAGGACTTGATCATGAGCCAAATGACCTTAGAGCAGAGATAACCAAACCATCACTTGGAAATGCATTTGTCAATTAGTGCTCCAGGCAGCAGAAAAACCAGACCGCCACCCTGCAAAGACCTGCCACAAAGAGCCATGTGGAAAAAACTGCACAGAGAAATGGGGATTGTGAACAAGAGTACTGCCTTTGAATGAAAGGTTTTAGGCTGCGTTAGGCTCATTAAGAAAAGAAAGGTTACCCTCATTAGAAAGTTTACCTGGCTCTGATGAAAGAATCACTCCTCTGCTAATATAACTTCCACATCAACTTAACATGTACCTGTAAGTATAAATTATCTTAATTCCAGGCAGATAAAAATCTGTGTTTCCTGAACAATGTTTAGCTTAACTCCATTATAATGGTCAGCCTAAAGGAAACTAAGTCCCTGAGCTTGCACATTGTTTTTGCTGTGCATGGCCATAATGAGCTGGTCTGAATTCACACCGGGTGATACAGGATTCCCACACAGGATCCCCTCACAGGACTCAGGCATTTTCACAACTTGACCACACAAAAGAACACTCAAGCTGCTCCTGCCTTGCCCAAGGCAAGTACAGTAATACCCTTTCCAGCAGCCCTTTCATATTATTGTGTATAGACAAACACAGGTGTCTACACAACAATCTTTATGAACTTTGCATTGAATATGCCAAAGAACAGCAGATATCCCAACACACCATCCATTGTCTCAGGCATGAAAGCTACCCCTGAGAGACCACAAAAGAGAAGGGAAGAAAAAAAACCCCAACAAGCATATATGTTTATTCAACACCTCATCAGCAAAACAAAATACTTGTGTTAGAGAAAAAAAAAATTGTTTTTAAACCACAAGACATGGAAAATAAAAATGACTCATCAACCTTAATTAGGTTTCCTTCATTAGCTGACCATGTAAATGCATTGAAACTACTACTCAAATATTCAAACCTTCATTTTACATGCAAGTGGCTCCCAGCAAATGATAAAGCAATATTCCCATGTGGGTGTGAAAGATGGCACTGAATACTGGCCCATTATAAAAGAGGAGTCAGATTCCACTAGTCACTGTGGGTTTAACTGCCAGGCTTTCGGGGAGCTATTTTATAAAATGAGGACTCACCCTAATAAATTAATAGTGAGCAGTGTAAATGTCTGAAATAGCCTGCACTCAATGAGGCTTTAGACCACTTGGTGTTCAGACTTTACAAAAGACTCTGTAGGAAAAAAAATTATGTTGTGACAATGGTGTCATTTAAAAAGGATAATGATGATGAGGATGATGATAACTGGACAGGATCTACCAGTGCTGGCTGCCTCCCGTGTACACGGCCCAGCCGACGGTGGTTAAGTTAAAGCCAGCGCTCTCCTACTGGAGCTGTGGGCAGGCAGTGGGGGAAGTCACCCGGTTTCCAGCTCCCTGTGGGTTTGACGGGACCAGAACTGGGACTGGCGACTGGCTTGCGAGAAGCCCCGCGTAGCTCAGCCAGGGCTCGAGCTGTCTGCCCCTCACCACCTTCCTCCACTGCAGACACCAAGTTAGGAAGGCAACTCCAGGAGCACAATGACAAGAAGGCACACAAAAGGAGCCAGGCAGCCGCTCCCACCCTTACCTTTGACTTGACTTTCATACTCGGCTATGATCTCTTTGTCCTTTTTGAATCTGCTCGGAGTGGACATTATCCAGCTGTTCCGGGCTTGCTTTCAATGGGCAAGTTCTGTTCAGTGGTCACAAACCGGTCTCCTTGGAGAGGCAGCGACTTGCACTCCCACACGCCGGGAACCCTGAGGCGGCACCGACAGGAGGGGAGGGGGGAGAGGAGGAGGAGGAAGACGAGGAGAAGGAAAAAAAAGGGAGCGAGCAGAGAACTAGATTAACCCGGGCGCTGGCACCATGCTCTCGGGCTCGAGCCGCCGTCGCCGATCCAGGGGGGAGCCGGGGGTCGGGGCCCCGCGAGGCCGGACGCGCAGGCAAACTCCGGCGAGCGGGCGGCGGGGGGCGTCTCCCTGCCCACCTCGCCGGGGCCGGCCACTTCCTCTACGGCCGCTGGGCGGGCGCGGGGCTCGCGCCGGCGCTCCACACCATTGTTAGAGACCCGCACCCGGCGCCCGGGGCAGGCCCGGCTGCGGAGGGCAGGCGCTGGGTTACGCGCCCGGCTCGGGCGCCACGACCCTCCCTTCCTGCCGCCAGCCGCCGGCTCCGGCGCTCAGTGGTCCCGCCCGGGCCGGGGATGCTGCTGCCACGGCGCCGTTCCTCCGCCTGCAGACACTGCCGCTGCCGTCCGGGCAGGCTACAGGAGTCGCGATGCCAACGCGAGTCCCCGCTGCTGGCCAGGAAGGTGGCTGCAGCGACGCTGAAGCGCGCCCTGGGCGCAGCCCCAGCGGAGTTTGGGTCTCCAGAGCCGGCGCCGCGAGGGGCCTCTGCCTCCTTGGCCACTGTGCGCTGAGGCTGCCTCTTTCTCCTCGTCCCCCTTTCCGCTGCTGCCCCCAGGAGGTGGCTGGTGACTTGCACACTCGCACACGAACCCGGGAGCCGCGCCCCCGGCGGGCGGCCGCGAAGTTGTCGGTGCGCACGCGGCGGGCGGCTCGCGGGCGCGGAGCGAGCGATCGGCGGGCGGTGGCGGCCGGGGCTGCGGCTCCGGGCTCGGCTACGCGGGGCAGGGCTGGCGGGAGGGGACGGCGCTCCGGCCCGTGCCCTTCTCCGCCCTCGCCACCGCCCCTGCTCCGTGAGGAAACGCCGGGCTCGTCCGGGAAGATGGATGCCTCTTGTGGCCAACCGCAGCCCGGCCCCGCGCGCCGAGCCCAGGCGGCCGTGGGCGGCGCCCCAGCGCGGCCTCCGCCGGGGTCCGCTCGCCGCGGCCCGGCTCGCGCTCCCGCAGCGGGAAGACCCCTCCCGACCCCGGGCACCCGCTTCGGGACAGGAGGGGTTGTGGGGGTAGGATCAGGAGGGGCTCTTTCCAGAATCCAGTGGGACGGTCTAGAGTTGGATGTCTCCATGACGGAAAGGGATGGGACCCCAAGATGTTGGGCCCCAGTAGGAAAACTGAATCCTGAATTGTGAATGACCTGGCTGCTAAAAATCGAAGAGCAAGAGCAAAGCTCTTCAATGGAGACTGAGAAAAACGCCCATCTTGAACACTATATCCTCTATCCTAGAAGTAGCTCCTGGAGCTGGGGTGTTGGGAACAGGTCACAATAAGCATGGCGCTGGCTTTCTTTCTTTCATTTTTTTTTTCTTAATTAACTAAACTCCAGGTGTTATTCGGATTTTACCAGTTTTTCCACTAGTGTCGTTTTTCTGTTCTAAGATCCAATACAAGCTATCACATTGCATTTAGTACTCCTTTGTGTTTTGTCTCCCTCTGTTGTTGCCCGGGCTAGAGTCCCTTAGCATCAGCCTAGCTCACTGCAACCTCAAACTCCTGGGCTCAAGCAATCCTCCTGCCTCAGCCTCCCGAGTAGCTACGACAACAGGCACACACCACCACACCCGGCTAATTTTTTCTATTTTTAGTAGAGACGGGGAAATCTCGCCCTTGCTCAGGCTGGTCTCGAACTTGTAACCTCAAGCTATCGCCTCAGCCTCCCAGAGTGCTAGGATTACATGCATGAGCCACCACGCCCTTACGTTTTTCATATGCATCTTGGACAAGATTTGTTGGGTCTAACCTCTTTAGGAACAATAAGATGAATACTTTACCTTGTCATGTTCCTATGCTTCACATGTTATTTTGGTTAAGTATTTTAAGTCCATCATCCCTAGCTTTTTGACCAACAGGTTTACTGCTTGAGATATTTCCTGGCTTCTTTCTAATCATTGCTCAAATATTATGGGCCTGATTTATCAGAATCATGTGTCCAAAGGCGTGCCCGGTATCAAAATATTTTCCCTCCAAGATCTAAAAAAGTAGGAACTTTCAGACTTAGATAATGTGTTCATGTATCCAGTGATCAACTTTTTGGTTTTGACTATGGGCCAACTACCAAGCCAAGAACTCAGAGTTCGGAGATTAGGACCCCGCCCTAAAGGATCTCACAGTCTACTGTTGTATAAATAGATAATCACAGACAATACAATAATGCTGTAAGTGAGAGAAATGCTCCCGGCCTTGGGAGACCTGAGGCGGGAAAAACATACTGCATAGGAGGTTTGGGGAGTAACAGTTTGCAGAGGAGTGGTATTTGAGCTGGATTTAAAGGATGAATAATAAGTAGCTGACTACTTTAGGGAGGGAAAGGGATGCATTTCAGGGAAAGGGAGGAGCATCATACCCTGGGGATACTACAAATAGAGTTACAAGATATCTTCCACTAAAATACCAGATCCCTGATAGATGGTGAAAGATAATTTTTTAAAATTGTAATATATGTATATACATGTGTCAACTGATAGTGTGTGGATATTGTTTCTAATTGCACAGCTTTTTTTAAAATTTAATTTTTAGCAAGTTGTTTTTTTTTTTTTTACTTTATAACAATAAAATAGAAGATAAAGGAGAAACATCAAAAAAAATTTTTTTTAAAGTTTTTTTTCATCTCACCACCCCGGAGGTTATACTATGGCACCCCTGGCTGCCCTAATTCCACGTGTGATTTCCTGTCTAAGGTAAGAAGGTATGGTGAAGAGGTGGTGAGCCAGAACGTCCAAAGCAGAGGGTGGAAAGGAAAGTGAGGGCCAGCTGGGAGAGGCCTCCTGTGCCATGCTGAGCTCTTGGACACAGTTCTGCAGACAGCAGGGAGCCTTTTAAGTAGAGAAGTGTCATGATCAGATTTGTGTTTTATAAAGATAACTGTTGGCAGAGTGAAAGGCTGGTTTAGCCATGGGGAAAGTGAGAAACCAGAGACAGGCAGCCCACTTAGGTGATAATGTAGTCAAATTTAAACGAGATTCATTCAAATCTAAATATGATTCATATGCATGGTGCTATTGGGATTTATTACATATGTGCACCTGGGAAGTACAACTTGGCAGCCCCTAGAAATGAATTGTTGGCTGACTCTAGATGTGAACCAATGTGGTTCAAACAAACCTCAGAGGTGAATCCTGGCTCTGTTGCTTCCTGAGGGATCTGGTAAAAATTACTGTACCTCTTTAGACCTCAGTTTCCTCATCTGTAAAATGGGTTAATGCCTAGCTCCTGGGGATGTTAGAAGCACTTACCAAGATAAGCCCTTGTAAAGGCTTACAAGCCATTGTACATACTCAGTGAGTGGTAATTATCTTTATTATTATTATTATTATCTGTTTTAATCTTCCTTGAGAGGAAGCTATCTAAAAACCAGAGATAATCTTATTTTTAACTTCATCATGGTGTCCAATAAACAGTCAATAAAAATGTGTTGAATATTAATGCCTTCATATTAGCAAGCCACCATTTTATTATTGAAGCTTGGGTACTACCCACTAACGTAAGCATTTTACATACATCCTCACAAGAACTCTACAAGGAAGATACCACTGTCCTCATTTTACAGATGAGAATCTGGAGGCTCAGAAAGTTCAGCAAGTGTCTGGCCTGGCAGGGCCAGACTTCCAGTCCATTTCGGACTGCCTCCAAAGTGGGTGCCCGTTCCAATTTTCTATTCTGCTTCCTATGAACTTATTGTTCCTTTCAACTTGTGAAGCAGGTTCAAATACAGTAAAATGTGTGATTCCTTCATGGTTTTCCATTGATGGATCTCTTTTCTGATTCAGGCTTTCAATGTCATTGACAAATCAATTATTCTTTTCATAAGAATAGTTCTATTTTTTCAGATTCTCCTTATTTTTCCCATATTTAAGAAGAGCCCACTTCACCTCACAAAGTGGGATATGGAGAATGCCTGTGACGTAAAATCCAAAAAACTAGGGTGACGCAAGTTTGGGAGACAGGCAATACTGATTCTGGTTCATACACCAATTCTCTGTGATTTTGCTCCACCTTGTGGTAGCTGTGCGTTTTCTTAGCTATAAAATAGAAGGCCGCACTTTGCCCCCTAAACCCTGCCTCTCCCCTGCCACACTCCAATCCTTCAGGGACAAGTTGTGAGAAATTTGGAGTGCCTCACAGTTGGAGTCCCTATGACATATGAATCCACCCTATTATCTAGCATTGCATTTCCAAGTCCACCCAAATTCCCATATAAGTAGAAGTTAATTCACCACCAGACCTGGGAATAAGTAAGAGTATGCACAAGGGTCATTGAGGCACAAAATATTGATAGATTATCCACTCTAACCCAGTGGTAAATAATTTAAGTCATTTTTAAAAAATTAAACACTAGCAGGGTGCAATGGCTCAATCCCAGCACTTCTGCTGAGGCAGAAGGATTTCTTGAGGCCAGGAGGTAGAGACCAGCCTGGGCAACCTATCAAGACCCTGTCTCTACAAAAAAAATTTAAAAAATTAACTAGGCATGGTAGCATGCACCTGTAATCTCAGCTACTTGGGAGACTGAGGCAAGAGAATCATTTGAGCCCAGGAGTTTGATGATGCTAAACTATGATGATGCCACTACATTCTAGCCTGGGTGATAGAGCAATATCCTGTCTATATAAATAACAAATAAACAAATAAATATAAAGACAAAATAAAGAATTAAATACAAATATATTAAAGAGTCAACGCCAAATTCACACAGTTTTTTTTTTTTTAAGCTGTAGTTTTATCTTCTAGGAATTTCATGTCTGAAGTAGGCCATTCTGCTACTCCATTAACATAAAGGATACATTTTCCCCTGCCTATTGGGACGGAGAAGTAGGTGAAGCCCTGCCAGTACCCTAGATTTTATTTTTGGACTAGCCAGAGCATCAGAACACAGACTGCTTTGCACACATATCTTATATTGCCTTGACTCTGTAACCTCTTAGCTTCTCAAATTACTTGCAGTTTTGCCTTCAGTGCATTGCATATTGGTATCAT